TGTGCATGTTCTCTCACTCTCTCTTGCTCGCTCTCTGTGTCAAATAAATAAAATCTCTTTAAAAAAATCACTTTGTCTACAGTGTGGAAATTATATAGTAGGAAGCAGGAGTCAGGATGAGAAGACCAGTGAGTGATTGCTACACTAGCCTAGGAAGGGGGGTAATGGCAGCTTGCACTCTGCCCTGGTGGCGGGGAAGAAATTAGATGGATTCCAAGTGTATTTTGGAATTGGACTGAAAAATTGCAGGTGAACTGCCTGTGGGAAGAGAAGAAAGCAAGAATCAAGAATAATACCAAAGTGTTACCACTTGAACAGTTGGCTGGCTGGTGGTGGTTTCCTAGGAGAAAACTTTGGGAAGGAAGAAGTTTGGGTTGGAAATCAAGAGTTCATTTCCAAACAAGTTAAATTTGAGTGCCTGTGAAATATCCGGCAGAAATGGCAAGTGGGTAGAGGGATACACAAGTCTGGAGCTCAGAGGAACCGTCCAGACTAGAGATATAAATTTGAAAATGATGAGACCATTGAAGATATTGAAAGCCTCAGTCGGAAAGAACTCACCTAGGAAATGTATGTAGGCAGAGAAGAAGATTGAGAATGGAGGCCTGAGAGTCAACATTCAGGGCAGTGTGGGAAAGTGCTGGAGAGAGAAGGTGGGAATGACTGAGGAGGAGGCAAAGCCAAGAACAAGAAGGTAGAGAAAGATCAGCTGCTGAAGACAGAAGGGCCACCCCTGGGCTGGCCACGTGCAAGGAACTTTCAAGAGCATCTTCTGTACAGCTACGTGATTGATATTCCACTTGGAAGGTTTGAAGAGGGAGTGAGAGCCAAGGGAGCAAGGGTAGCGAGTGCAGGCCGCTGGCTGGAGAGGTTCAGACGCAAAGAGCAGTCACTGAAGGGAAGGTCACAAAGTCTCTGACAGAAGAGAAAATATATGTGTCCAATAAATACACAAAGGGATATCCAACTTCATTAGTAACCAGGGACATACACATCAAGACAGGAGAAACCATTTCACATCCATTCCACCGGGAGAATGTTGAAAGTCTGACGATGCCAAGCACTGGGGAAAACGCAGATCTACCCAGCCTCTACCAGGGGTGGGGGGATCACTAAGCAGTACCACCACTTTGGAAAACCATCCGGCATGATCTCATGAGGCAGAACAATCAGGTGCCCTATCTATGCCCAGCAACTCCACAGAGTCACAAACAAGAGTATTTAGAGCAGCAGATCTCACAGTAACAAAGACCTAGAAACAGCCTAGCACCTAGAGAGGAGAGCAAACGGACTGGCCGCAGCATGCTCACCCACGGTGTGGGCTTTAGGGACACATAGCAGCAATGACGCAGCTTAGACTGCGACAGTACACTTTTCAAGAAGTCCAAAAATGTTGCAAACATCATAACATCCTTTTTGTAAAGTAAAATAAAATAAAATAAAATAAATTATAATATGTTGAGGAATAAGCTTTGATGTGACAAAACGTGAAAGAAGCCAGATGAATGGCAAACCGGCTCATGGACAAGAGGCTCGATATCATTAGTCATAAAAGAAACACAAATCGAAACCACAATGAAATGTCACCTCACACCTGCTAGGAAGGCTGTTATCAAAAAACAAAAGACGACTGGTGTTGACAAGGTCGTGGAGACACTGGAACGCTGTTATGCCGCTGGAGGGAATGCCTCATGATGCGGACACTTCCGGGAAAACAGGATGGTGCTTCTCAAAAAATTCAGTGTGATCCAGCCATCCTACTTCTGGGTATTTATCCAAAACAACTGAAATCAGGATCTCTAGGAGGGATTAGCAGTCCCATATTCATCACTGCACTGTCAACCGCTCCCAAGACCTGAATGTTCAAGGATGGATGAATGGATTTTAGAAATGCAGTCTATCCTTACAATGCAATATTATCGGCCTTATCAAAGAAGGAAATACTGCAGCATGCACAGCGTGAATGAACATGGAGGACGCAATGCTAACTGAAATGAGCTAGTCACAGAAGGACACACACTGCACACTTGCGTTTATTCGAGGTATTGAACAGTCAAACTTGTGGAACAAAGACTAGAAGTGTGGGTGCCAGGGGCTAAAGGAAGGGGGAACTGGGAAGTCGATAATCAATGGACATAAAATCTCAGCTCTACAAGATGAACAAGTTCTAGAGATCTGCTATACCACGTGTGCCTACAGATAATAGTAACGCATCATACACTTAACCATCTGTTACAAGAGGAGATTTTATGTTAAATGTTCTTACCACAATAGGAAAAAAAACTATATTAAAAAAAAGCCATATGGAAAAAAATGGTAGCAGTTGAGTCAAAACAGTGGGTACTTTCCATGGGAAGAGACAAAAGGAATGTGGCAGAAAAAGAATAAATAATTTAAGAATGCTTATTTCACTAAAAAGAAAGACAAGTCCTCCCAGGAAACGTTTTTACCCTAAAACTGATTAGGAATCCACCCAAAACCATGAAATTGAACTACCTAGTTTCAAAGAAATAAATACAGGGCACAGAACAACATAGTCGATAAGACCAGAGGGAAATCCAGGGAATCCACCAATCAGGAAAATCCAGAATGCAGGAAACTTTAGGACCAACAAACAACTCAGTTTCATCAACAAATAATTAAAGCAAACAAACAAACAAACAAACCAGGAGTGAGTTTGGGGAAACCAATAGGTTAAGGAGAGACATTGGACCAAATGCAGTATATGGACTTTTTTTGGCTGCTGCTTTAGGCAAGTCAACTAGAAAAACCATTTATGAGGCAGGATGATGGGGGATATTGTTTATTTTTAATTTGATAATGGTATCGTGACTTTCCTAAAGTCCTTTCCTTTTAAAGATATACACTAAAATAATTTTTTAAGATCTTTTATTTATTTATTTAACAGAGAGAAAGAGAAATAACAAGTAGGCAGAGAGGCAGGCGGGGGGGTGGGGAGCAGGCTCCCTGCTGAGCAGAGAGCCCAATGCGGGGCTCGAACACAGGACCCTGAGTTCATGACCTGAGTCGAAGGCAGAGGCTTAACCCACTGAGCCACCCAGGCACCCCAATATACTAAAATCTTTTTGAAAAAATTCCAATAACACTTGTTCTGTAGTTTTCTGTGCTTTTCTCACAATACTGCTGAAGCCTGTATACTGCTCACCACTTGCATGCACACGCACACATGCACACACGCATACAGACACACACAGGCACACACTCCCGTACCCAGCAGGACAGCATTTCCAAAGTTCAGACAATTCTGTCTCACCTACTGTCCTGTGCAGGCCTCAGGAAGGGGCTTTGCATAGAGAGAATATTCAAATGTTTCTTGAGTTTTTAAAAAGAAAGAAAGAAAGAAAGAAAAAACCTATAATTAAAAAAAAAAAAAGAAAAGAAAGAAAACAAACAAAAAAGAGCCAGGCAGGCTCCAGTAATAAGAAGTATACTTTGAACCAAGGACTGATTATGTTTAATAGGACTTTCTGTGCCTGGCGTCCAAACACAAAGTCCTGGGGAACGAAGAGCAGGGATGCAGACCTGCCACCGAGACTCATAAAGGGGACCTTCCTTGGGGAAGGAGGTGCAGATGCCACCACAGGCAGGCCGGGTCCCTCTGACACACGCCCAACACAACAGTAGCTCACTAACTGTGTGTGTGGTCATCTGTCTCCACCACCAGACAGGGGCCCCACCCTGGATCTGGTCACAGGGCTGGACCTGGTAAGTGGTTGACAGCCCCAAGGAAGAAACTTCAGTAGTATCCAGAGGAAAACAGGACTGATCACAGAGCAGGTCAGTAACATCCTAGGGCTCAAGGCAGGAATACCAACCAGAGATTCATCAAAATAGAGACCCTGGATGGGGGGTGTGATAATGAGCTGGGCCCACAGTCCTGCTCATCTGAGTTACTGATGAAGGGAATGGGGTGTGGGTCAGGGACGGCTTGCGACAGGAAGAGGGGTACTGGAAGGCAGATGGGGTCTGGAGGGGGCCAGGACCTGGGAAGCAGCTGCTGCCTGCTGTGTGACCTGGGGTGTGGCTGGCCTAGGCCAGCCTTGTCCTTTCTCAGTGCAGTAGGATGTGGGAAACCACAAGAATGCAGGCAGGGCTAGCATATCACGGCGGAAAACTGAATTCCTGAGCACATCAGGGAGGCTTACTCAGACTAGCTGGAGGAAATCACGTTGAACAACCCAACTCTGGAATGAGGATATACTCAAGTCGTGGCATGGGCACGTGGACGTGGGCGATGGGGTGGGAGGACTTCTTCTGCCTGTGACAGATAAGGGGCAGGAAAGGCTACACAGAGGAGCTGACATTTGAGTGGGTCTTGAAAAACGAGACAGGATGGAAAAAGAGAGAAAAACAAAAACACACCAAGCACTCACGATGGTCTAGGTCCCTCTAGACACTGAAGTTCCCTTCCAGAAAAAGGGCCACACAAAGGCCTGGAGATGTGAAAATACAACAGTGTGTCTGATAGTCTTTCCCCTCTTTGTCCATGCCTATTCCCTGGTCACCCTGGAAAAACCCATCAAAGATGAACTGTTTCTTTTTGCTTCTAGAAATTCACTCTAGGGCTTGACCAGATATGGATGTCAAGATATACTCAACAACACTCAAAACAGCAAACCCACCATAGGTTAGATGGGTTAAAATACTACGTAGTCTTCAAAACGCAAGTTGTCAAAGGTGAACTAATGGCATGGAAAGAGCTATACCCCATAACGAGTGGAAAAACAGCAGTTACAAAAGAACACAATCCAACTTTATTTCTGAAAACAGAGTACATTTTTTTAAAGACTAAGAAGAAATCTAATGTTCAAAGAGTCTATCTCTACATGGTGGGACTGGGTGATCTTCGTCATCCTGCCACTTTCTACAATGAATATGTATTACTTTTAAAAAATTAGATAAAAACACCCCCCAGAATGTTATTTAAACACACACATACACACACAATTGAAAACAGGCCCACGTGGGGGTAGGCTCACCTTCTGCAGGATGGGGGTAGGGCAGGTGTTGTCAAACAGGACTGAGTTGAAGATCCCATACACGCCCTCACTGAGGTGGTACACGATGGTCTTGGGGATGGAACCACTTTCCTCTGTGGGGAGGGCAGGGGTCAGGGGCAGCACAGGCAGCAGTGTGAGGAGGCAGGAGTGGGGCGCTGGCACAGTGGGCGGCTCAGCAAGGATGATGGGTAACTGAAGCCCAAAGGCTGCCCCTTCCTCAGCTCTGGGGTGGGTCCTGCTGCCTCCTATGACACAAGGTTCATGTGATGCACCCTCACCCCTGCAGCTGGGCACCCCTGTGCAGGACACACTTCCGGCCTGCAGCTGAGCCCCTGGACGCCCCAGCAAAGGCCAAAGAGCAGCCCACCCAAGCTCGAGACCCCAAGAGGTTAAACTGCTCACTCAGAGGAACATGATGGGGCAGAAATGAAAAAGCAGGTCTCCTGGCTGGACAGATAGGGTAATGAGCCAGATTTATAAAGGAAGCCAGAAGAATGTCATCTCTGCACACACACACACACACACACACACACACACACACACAAGACATTCTACCTGGGCCCCACCACCCCTCCCAATGGATTCTCAGGGGAAGACACACAGACCTCAGCTCTCCTGCCTGGGACCCTGGAGCAGAAGACGAAGCCCCAAGATCAGAACCTCTGACCCCACTCACTCAAGGGGCTGCTGGAGGGACTGATCTCTCTGGAAGGGCAGGAAAGAGTGCTGACGTTGCAGTGTGGGTAGAGAACCCTGAGTCAGCCCGGCCTGAACTTGGATCCAGGCATTGACTCTACCAGCTCTGTGACTTTGGGCGAGTGACTCAACCTCTCCAGGCCTATGTTCTGTCATCTATAAAGTAGGCTTAGACAATTATTATAAGTTGTCATTAATTATTTTCCTTATGTTATGAACAGCAGTAGGATGAGTAAGAACCTGTCCTTTAGAGAGCAGACAGACATGGGGTCGAATGCAGGCTTTGCTTTTTACTGTTAAGCAATCCACTTATATTCTCTTTGGCTCTCAGTTTTCTCATCTGTACAATGGGTTAATAAACTATCTGTTCTCCCTAATGTTGTTTTGACCTCAATCTTCATAAAGTATAAACATACATTGGAAAAACTGACACCAAGTGTCTTGTGGGGGTAAGAGGACTTGGATATAAGTTTCCCTAAGGCAAGGATCCATCCTCCAGATTCTCCAAGCCCTAAAACTAGACCTTGCTCAGCCAGCCACTGTCCCTAGCTTCGGGAAAAAATGGGGCTCTGCTGCCCACCTGGAACCTACCCTCCCTTCCAGGCTGGTCCAGAAGAACCTCCTTCTTGGCGATGATGCTGACAGCCAAGGTGAAAGCCGAAGTCACGTAGTAGCGCCCCAGCCTGGCAAGGATGTCCACGCCACAGCCCTCTGGGAAGTACAGGTCCAAGGCTGAGTTGATCACAGAAGCAATCTGGTGGACAGGGATGGGGGACAATGACATGTGTGAAATGTGGGATTTACATACTGAGGACTTGCTATAGCTTCAAGTCTATTTCTTGAAAGCTTCTTTGATTTCAGAAAGAAGCATTTGACAGCTGCTAAGGCCCCAACTGGTGACTGCAGACAGGTGGGCGGGAAGGCAGGATGCAGACGGAGCAGGGTCAAGACCCTTACGCTTGTGTCAACCAACTTCCTTAACACTCCCAAATTGGGAAGAGGTGTTCTTAACGTAATAATTGGTACTCAGGTTCTAGAAGCCCTGATGTATATCTTTCTTTCATAAGTGACCAATCTGTTAAAGGACACGTTTTTCACAGAAAATACAAGAACAAAGATCAAAATCACCCTTAATTCTATCATCCAGATTGTTAATCACTGTTAATTTTTTGGAGTAGCTCCTTTAATTCTTTTTCTATACAAACACAGTTTTTTATTATAAATATGATAAGGCTATACATGTTTTATAACCTGTTTTACGCAACAGACTCTGGGAATGGCCTCACAAGGAGGTCATATGAATGTACCACCATTTAACCAATTCCCGAGTGTTAGATGGACCACAAAAGTCCTCTGGGTTTTTGTTATGAACAATGCTACAATACTCCTCTTTGAGGCTAACTCTTTGTGCCGGTGGGGGATTATTTTCTTAGGGTCAGTGCAGATGGAGCGCCCAAGACTTGGCTCTTACTAGGGAGAGGCGACCCCTAGTGGTTGCAGTGGGGATTGCTGGGGGACATTTTTCTTGATTTCATCTCACATGGAAAGGAGCAGACAGGTGGGCCTTTCTTTTCCCTGCCCTCCCGTTTGATTTCTCATCAGCTCACCTAAGGGAGAATAGGGCAGTCCAGGCCCTCAGAGAGTTTCAGGACTTATGCAAATAGGCCTGGTTAAGCTTCAAATATGCGCATGGACTAGTGTCACAGAGAGCAGGGTGTGTTGCCAGCTCTGCCAGAAAGTGACGTAACCTTGAAGAGCCTCAGTTTGCTCGGCTGTAACATGGGGCTGATAATAAGATGATCCAGGAAAAGCACCTAGCACAGCATGCAGCACCTAGGACCCACTCAACAGCACCGGGCACACTAACCCCACCTCCCACACAGCCTAGGGTTACCTCTTCGAATCTCACTTTGGCCCCCTCCAATCCAGGAAAGCCACCACCAAGGTCCAGGAGATGCATCCTGTGGCCCAGCTCAGCGCCCATCTCAAACACAAGCCGGGCGTCTGCGATGGACTGAGCGTAGGCGTGAAGGTCAGGACAGCCGCTACCAACGTGAAAACTGGGAAGGGAGGAAGACCCTAGGCTTACATGCAGGACCCCAGGTGCCATGGCCACAGCCCAAGCCAGGAGCAGCCTTGGGCAAGCACAATGGGCATCGTGCCCATTCTGCAGATACAGTGACTGAGGGCCCCGGAGGTTAAATGCATTGCCAAAGGTCATGGGGCAAGTGAGGTGTGGACAGGAGACTAGATCCAAAGTCCTTTGGCACTTGGTGTCCCTCCCATCCCTTCATGCTGCCACTGGGGCTGAGCCCCCTGGGATGAGGAGCAGGGCCTCAGAGTCAGCCGGGTCTGTAGGTCCCTCCCAGCCAGCACTGTGCTTTAGTTTCCCCAGCTATAAACTGGAGCTAAGATCCCAAAGGCTGTGCAATAATGTACCTGAAGCATTTAGCACAGTGCCTGGCATATCTTAAGCACAGAATAAATGAAAACTATATTATATTATCTATATTATCATGACTTCTTCCATATCCCTGCATGCAAAGAGACAGAGCAAAGGTGTTTATGGCTCCTGCCAGGCCAGGTCCCTCCTGGGGCCTCTGGGGACAAGATCTGGGGACCATGGGGTTGAGTGAGTGGGACACTCTGAACTTTCTTTCCAAAGAGAGGAAACTGTCCAATGGCAGGATTCTATGCCTGGGGACAGGCCCTTCTTGCAGACCCTGAAGGAGGATCTCATAGGGAACTGATTAATTTCTGGGAAAGAGGCAGGGGGCTGGCAGGGAGGGTGGGGTTTCCGGGCACTCACCTCACCCCCACTACCTCCACGTGGCTCCTCTTGGCATTTTCAAGCAGGTGTCTGCAGGATTTCAGCGACGCTCCAAACTTGAAGCTCAGGGGGCTCAGGGAGTGACAGTCATCAGTAGCAATGCCCAGAACCATCCTGAGGAGACACGCAGCGCACCTCTGCGGGGGGACCCCACCCCCCACCCCAATTATATCCTCTCGGAGAACAGAGGCATAAGCTCAGAGCCACCCACCCCACAGGGCCCTGACCCCTTCCTATACCTGCACTGCCAGTCAGCCTCTGGAGCCTGTCCAGTCCATTCCCTAAACATCCCTGGGCCCAGCCCCGTGGCCGCTGCCCTGGCCCTGACCTCTCCAGCTCTCCCAGGCAGCTCCACTTCCTCCAAATCAGCCTCTACACAAGCCAGGCTTTTCCAACTTTTCTTGTATGAGGGGAACCATTTTTTAAACACAGTCTTATTGAGAACCCCAACAAAATGGAAGATGCTTTGGGTGAACCAGAGTGGTCCTCCATTACCCCAAGGTGGCCCTCCCTGGAGCCCCTACGGCATCAGGCGACCGTGTGAAAGCCAAAGCTGGAGCAAAACATCCAGCCCTGACCCCCACCAAAGCCCACGTGCATCAGGTCTCTGCCCTGGGACTGTGACCGGCCAGCCTTCACGGCTGCCCTCTGCCCTCACACAGGGTCTGTTCTGGCCACCCCAAATTTCTGCTCATTCCTCAAACACCCCAGGGCTGCTTCTGACTTCCTCGCATTCTTTGCTGAAGCGGTTCACCCAGATACACTGTTGATCGGGCCCACCTTGAAGGCCGCCTCCCTTGTGCCGCCTTCCTAACCAACCCCCTCTTGCTCCCTCGGCCTGTGACTTTGACCTCCAGAATACCGCAGCTTTGCTGTGCCCAGGCTGTCACAGGTATTTCTGTCCCGGTCCTCATCAGGCCCCAGCTCGCTGGGTCTGACCCAGGAGCGCCCACCCCAGACTTCTGGAACTATGGCCTGGGCCTGCTCAGGGTCCTCGGCTCCAGTGCTCCCCCTCCCTCCCCCTCTGCCCTCACACTCAGCCCAGGCCTCCCCATGAGCAGTCCTCAGCTTACCTGGCACTGGGGTGGCCCTTTACCACCTTTGCCAGCTCCATCTCGTTGTCAAAGCTCAGCAGCCGGACCCCGTGCTTGGCGGCGTACTTGATCTGTGCAATTTGCTTACAGGGGTTGGCGTAGATGATCTTACTGGCAGGGACGCCAATACGCTGAACCAACTCCATCTCTGCCTGTGGGATCCCAAAGGTGATGGTGAGGAGGCTCAGGGCCTACCGGGCCCACAGAAGTTGAGGATGCACAAATGAGGGGCAGAGTCATAGTATGCCTGGGAAGGTCCCTAAGAAGTGGGCTGTGTTTTTACACAACAGATATGAGAAAATCAGGACTCATGCCAGTTTGCCATTCTTTGCCAGACAAGGCTGCCACAGACAGCTGGGCAGGTGGTGCACTATACAACCGAGGTGAGGGAGGTCCCAGTCACAGAGAATCCATGGTAGATTTATATAGTTATTATAACTTCCTTGCAGTAGAGCATCTTAGCCTCACAAAGACATATATATATATGATATCATATATCATATATATATTCTAATTCACTGAAAGACATTACACAGAGTCATGATAGGCCTAACTATAGGCATGATACATTTTCCTGACAGACTTAATGTTTAAAGAGTATTCCTTGGTGGGGATACCTGGGTGGCTCAGTTGGTTAAGCATCTGCCTTCAGCTCAAATCATGATCCCAGGGTCCCTGCTCAGAGGGGAATCGGCTTCTCCCTCTCTGTCTGCCCCTCCCCCAACCTGTGCAAGCTCACGTGCTCATGCTCTCTCTCTCAAATAAATAAATAAAATCTTAAAAAAAAAAAAAAAGAATATTCTTTAATGTACTGGAAAGTTCACCAGACCAAGAGTCCTTTTCACACAGGTCATCCCACATCCCAAGGCCCGCTGTGTGCATGGCGCTCTGCTGAGTGACTCTGGCTGGCCCTTCCCCGTGAGGGACCTCCTCTTCCTCACCTTTACAGAACACATTCCACCGGCTTGCAGCATTAATGGTACAGATGTGTGCACCTACCACAAGCAGGCACTGAATGAGATATCAGAAAAAGGGCCAGAGAACAAATAGTTTAGGTTTGGTCAGCCACAGAGGTTCCTTTTTTTTTCTTTTTAAGATTTTATTTATTTTGAGAGAGGGAGAAAGAGGACCTGTGTGGTCATGTGCAAGCCATGAGCAGGGAGAGGAGCAGACGGGGAAAGGGGCAGCTGGGCAGAGGGGCAGAGGGGGAGGAAGAGGAAGAGAGCATCCAAAGCAGACTCCAGGCCAAGCACAGAGCCTGAGGCCAAGCTGGATCTCATGACCATGAGATCATGACCTAAGCCAAAACCAACAGCCAGGTGCCCAATGGACTGAGCCACCCAGGCGCCCCAGCCATAGAGGTTCCCTGACATCTGCTCAACACTAAAGCAGCCAGAGAGAGGGCCCAAGTGAACGAGCACAGCTGTGATCTGATAGAACCTGACAGAATCAGGCAGTGGCCTGGCTTTGATAACCATCCATCATCCGCCAACCCTTGCTTTGGATTCACTGCTTTATCTACTCCTTGCACTATCCCGTCAGAGGGGTGCCCACTCCACTCTAGAGAGAAGAAAACTGGTACTCAGTGGAGAGACGCAGCAGACAGGGGGCAGAGCCAGCTTTCAAACTCAGGTCTGACTCTCTATGACGGAGGGCAGGAAATGAAGAGGAAGCCAGCTCCGAAAAAATGTAGGAGACACAGGGCCACTTTTAGCCATTCTGAGTTTATAATAAGTCTCTAATTTAATGTAGCAATTTTTCAACATGAGGTACTATCGTGCATTATCTCACGTGATACCTGTAACTGTCCTGTGACATATGCATTGGGCCACACTTTACAGAGGACCACATGGAGCTCAGAGAAGCCCACGTGCCTGCGGAAACACTAAGGAAGAGAGCAGGACGGAGCTGGAACTGCTGCCCTCACAGCTGGCTTCCAAAGACCCTGAGTCCGAGTGGATGTGCAAATGTGTTTCTGCTCCTGACTTCACCACATGAGGAGGAAGCCACGGTGGCAATCTGGGGCTTGTGATTTAGCTATAAACACACAGTAATGACTGTTGAGTAACAGTAACATTGAAGGATTTCCATAGGCCAGCCATCGCCTTAAATATTTTATATTCATTTGTATTTAAGCCTCATAATAATTTTATGAGGTAGGAAGCAGAGGCTCAGAAGTAAAGTGACTTGTCCAAAGTCACACAGCTGGTAAGCGGCAAAGCTGGGACTCTAACCCAGGACTGTCAGACTTCGGCACACAAGCTCTTTACCACGGTACTGCAATGGAGAATTCAACCTCGAAGCGGACAAGTGTTCCTGGAGCATCAATTGAGGTGCTAAAGAAAACAAGTGGTGAGAGAAGCAGAAAATCTCTGACCCCATGGAGATTTCTCGGGTTGGGGCGGGGGCAGGCAAGAACAAATGAGCACTGAATGATGAAGGAGTTACAAACGCGAGCAGAGCGTGGGGAAAAGGCAAGGGATACTAGAGAGCCCGATGGGGGACCTGGATATAAAGAGTCAAGGATAGCCTTTCTGAAGGTCAGCAAGTAAAGCTGAGCTCCACAGGGGGCCTTCGTCCAAGCCCAGAGGGAAGGGAAGAACTTTCTGGTAGCAGGAAGAAGGTCCTGCCGAGACCCTAAGGCAGACTGTGCTCAGCCTGGTTGAGGACCAGGGGACCCTGGAGTGGCCTGGGCAGGGAGAGCACCGTGGAGGGAAGACAAGGTGTCAGGGAGGTGGGCAGAGCCAACAGGGAGACCGAGAAGGCTGATGTGGATTTATATTTTATCCTGCGACTCAAAGGAATCCGTTGGAAGGGTTTCGAGGAGGGAAATGGCACAGTCAGATTTGCACTTGAACTGCAAGGTTTAAATGCACATCACTGGCTACCATGTGAGTACAGACTCAGGAAGGGCTGAGAGGATTCTGTGGGGGACTGGTGGCAATCTCCCGAGGTGAGGGAACAAATGGGAGAGAGGTACTCCAGGGGCAGGGCTGGCAAGTGTGGTGATGGCTAGCTCGTGGGGCTGTCTGACTCCACGCCCAGCAGGCCAAGGAGCCCTTCTCCAAGGGGAAGATGGTGAGAGCGTTGGAGCACACTGGGTTCTAGGTGACCTGTGGGATCCAGGCAGCCACTGGATATATAAGGTCTGGTCTGGAGATTGAAATGTGGGAGGTGGTGGCATACTGATGGTATCTACAGCAGTGGGAGGAAATAAAATTCCCTAAGAGGAGGGAGAGTTTACAAGAGAAAGGGAGCCTGAGACAGAATCCAAAGGCGCTCTCCCATTGAGAGAGAGGGAAGTCGGGCACCCAGGACCTGCAGAGAGGGGAGGAGCAAGGACTCATCCAGAAGGGGAACAACACCTAGATTATATAGTCTTGTCACGGCAAACCTTATCTTGTGACTCCTATCCGTACAGAAGGAGGGTGTCAACTCTCACAGGTGCGGGGGAGAGGGGTTGGGCGGGGAGGGCAGGTGCAGAGCAGCGCTCCCGTTCCTCTCATTTACTTCTGAAGTCTTTAAACAAGGAACATAGGTTATTGTTGAGTGTTTTTAAAAAGAATCTGTCCCAAATGGGGAGTAGCTCTTAGTGGGTATAAAGTTCCTGTCCTGCAAGATGAAGGAAGTTCTAGAAATCTGCTGAACCATGTTTACAATCAACCATACTGTGCTGTACACTTAAAAATGTGTTAAGAGGGTAGATCTTGTGATAAGTGTTCTTTTTTTTACGATTTTATTTATTTGAGCAAGAAAGAGAAAGAGAGAGAGCACCTGTGCTCACACAAGCAGGCGGAGAGGCAGAGGGAGAGGGAGAAGCAGACTTCCTGCTGAGCAAGGGGCCTGACATGGGGCTCGACCCCAGGACCCCGGGATCATGACCTGAGCCGAAGGCAGATGCTTAACCGACTGAGCCACCCAGGAGTCCCTCACATTAAGTGTTCTTACCCCAAAAACAAACAGTCGCTGTGTTCAATGTTGCTGAGAGTCTGGATAATAAGAGAACCAAAGAGTGCCCCTGACAAGGTCTAACTGCATCTACACGGACAGATCTCCAACCTGCCAAGCTTAAAGCTATTGCGACACAGTCCCCACCACATAAACATCTTTTATGTTTTGTATATTTTCTATGGATCGTATTTGTACATATTTTTTAAACACCATATACCCACCAAAGTCAAACAGAGATAATGGTGATTATCTCTGGAGACACAAAGCTGATGGCCTATGTGTGTGCGTGAATGAATCAATGTATTCTTCGAATAATTCAAAATGCATGTTTAAAATCAAGTGCTTACTGAGTCTTGGGAGATCGCTGGGGAAGTTGGTAAGAGATTCCTCGGAGTAGTGAGAGTGGAAATGGGGGCGTATGGCTCAGATGTCGGGGTTAGAGGAAAGAGCCAGGTGCACACAGACAAGCGGGTGTAGACAGCTCTGTTTGGCCATGGAGAGAGAGCACGGGACTGCGCAGGTGGTGGTGTGGAGTCCCTGGAAGGCTTTTCAAGATGGGAGGATGCTGATAGAGACAGCAAGAAAAGGCAGAATGGGGGCAGGGGAGATAACATAAGGTCCTTGGGAAGGTGGGTGGGTGGACAAGAGCCCCATGCAAGGCATGGCCTGTGCCATTGACCTGTGGCATAATTACACCCAGCCCACCGCTCACACCAGATCCTAGGTCAATGCTGGCCAGGGGCATGGTGATGTTAAGTGTAGCCACTAACGATGGCCAACCAAAAGAGGGCAGTCTTGGCCTTTCAAGAAAAGCTGTGCTTCCCAGAGCCACCTCTCAGTAAGTGGGATCATCTCAACTGCAGGGAGGAAGCCATGGCCCCTCTCAGCCCTGGGGGTTAGCAAAGGCAATCGTTACAAGCTGGGTCCCCTCCCCGAGGACACGGACAGATGCAGCGAGAGAGCTGGAGACCCCACACTACCACTGGCCACACTACACACGTGGCCACTCCCTAGTGAGTCACTCACATCCTGCGCCCCCTTCCCAGTCTGTTAAATGCTTTCTCACAGGGCTGTTGTCAGGATCAGGGTAGTAATAATTACCTCACATGGTTGTTGCGAGAATAAAATGAGATCATGTGAGAAAATGCTTGGCAAAATGCCTGACAGGACAGAAGCACTCAACAACGGTACGCACTTTTAACATCCCTGCGGACTTCAAAGTCTAAGCCCTAACCCCCTCTAACTCTGCTCTTTGGAGGCCAGCTCTGAGGCCAGATGTTCAAGCACAGTGTCCCACCTCTGGGTTTCCAGATGCATAGGACCTGTCTATGCATCTTCACCCCTAGACCAAGAAGCCTGGAAAGGAGCCCCTTCCTCTTCTCCCAGAGCTGAACCCCGGCATGGCAGGCCCGCAGGGGGACGTCCAGGCTCTGCTACCAGCAAGCTGCGCACGGTTGGCCCCAGTCTCCTCCATTGTAAAATGGCGATCTCTCTCCTACTCTCCTCACAGGCTTGACTCAAGACATGCATGAAGCTAGGTGTGCAAAGGAAGAGCTAATGCCAAGAAGCTTTGCGATGACAATAGGGAGAGACTCATCTATCACTCAGAGCATTAACATCGTCTTTGAGAAAGGTTAACCTGCTTATTCTCACCATCCCACCATGCTGCACACCTCCTTCCCACCCAGAATCCCTCCACCCCTGTCATCCTGCCCAAGGAGCTCTCCTCCTTTCTCCTCCAGGGTCCCTTTCTAGAATTCTCCTCCTCCTAACACCCAACCACACTGCCAGCCAGGATTTCAAACGAGTTCCCCTCAAAACAATCATTACTAACCATTAAAAAAATAACAGTAATGACAACCTCGCAAAGCAACACCCACCAGGTTTGTTCTCACCTCAGGGCCTTGACATTTGCTGTTCCCTCTGCCTGGAAGCACGTCCCCTAGTTATCCACCTGGCTTGATCCTTTGCTTTCTTTGGGTCCGTATTCAAATTTCAGCAAAGCCTTCTCTGGGCCAAACTACATGAAAGTACAATCTTCCTTCCTAACATTCCCTACTTCCCTTCCCCACTTTAACTTTCTCCCTAGCAATGACCATCTAAAACAACATAGATTTTCATCGTTTCACTTGTTTGTTTTTTAGAAAGCAAGTTCCATGAAAAAGGGCCATTCTTGTTTGGTTTGGTTTGTTCACTTGCTAAATCCCCACCTGAAATGTGCTCTCTGGTAGGTGCTCAAAAAAGGTTTGCTGAATGACTAAATGTGTCCAAAGTGGTACTCTGAGAAAACTTCATACGCTTGAAGGCTGTCATCAACTAAGAACAGGAAGAAAAGAGATAAGCGAAGCGTTCAACCCCCAGACGACAGAGCCTGTCTTACTCAACACTGGATTGCCAGCCCTAGTTACACGCTGACCCGCACACTGCAGTCCAAAGTCGGAGAATGACAGTAAGTAAGCAGAGTAAACCTAGAGAGAGCAGGAGGCGAATTCAGACAACAGTAGTAATCTCATTAGAAAGGCAGCAAAATTGGCAACACAACAGAATTCTCAAAGGACTAGTTGAGAAAAGGTACTGTCACACATTACTAAGACTATAAAAGAAAAAAAACGATGATAAGAAGGTATTTTTGTTTTGTTTTGTCTTGTTTTAATTAGAAGGATACCATGCAGAACTCTAAGCCAAGAAGCCTGAAAATCTCCATGAATAAGGTGACCCACCTACCCAGACACACACACACACGGGTTCCCATTGAGAACTTCCATGCTTGTTTCTTCCTCCCTCATCCCTTCAAGCCCTCTTCCAAGTGGGTGGCCTGTCCCAGGGAGTAGGGGCCAATGGCAGCACCCCAGCCTCCTGTGTGCTGAGCAGGCAGCGAGGGTCAGTAAGGGGGGGGGGGAGTATAGGGGCTCACCTTGTTGGCACAGCTGAAGCCCAGCCCCAGCTCAGCCAGGACCTTCAGCACACCTGGGCTGCTGTTGCACTTGACTGTGTAAAAAGGCCGGACTCGGGGCAGGCACTTCAGGAAGCAAAAGTGCTTCCTCACCACAGTACCCAGGTCGGCCACGAAGAAGGCAGCAACGTCACCCTGCGTGAGAAGAGTGAATGTGAGACCCCCCTGCTTAGCTCCCTCCTGGTGCATACCATCTGCTATCCTCCCCGGGGAACCTGACCCAGGCCACACTCTGGCCACCAAGCTGCCCGGCTCTACCTCTACTGGTCTCTGCATAGAAGGCTGACTGCATTGGGGGTTCTGTGATCTGGCTCAAGTCCCCTCCTCCCCTCACTGCAGCTCCAGCCCCAGCTCCACACCTTCCAAGCTCTCATTCCCATCATGCCCTTGGCGCAGAATACCCTTGCCCCCACTCGGATCTGGCAAATTCCCAGTCTACCTTCAAGGTTCCCCTCACAGGCTACCTCCCCCGAAACAATAACGCCACTCTGCCTTTAGGGCTCTCGCTGCATGTAACACATGCCTTCAAAGTATCAGAGCTGTATATACATTCATTTTCTCCAGAAAAAGATAGATTCTTTGCAGGCCAAAGCTATGGCCTGCAGCCCGTGGCTTTCCACATGTAGGCGCCCGCTGAAGCCTTGCATGAGTTCCACCTCCACTGCGACCCCTGCCTCTGAGCAACGGGTCACCACAGATTTGTTGAGGGCAAAAGCTGTACAACGCTCTGGGTGAGAAAGCATTTACTTCAACCCTCACTGGAACTCAGTTTCCCTTTTACGCTACACTTTTTTACTGAAGCCCACTTGGTGTCTGACGTGATGCTAAGGAACACAGGTGACCAGACAGGGCTTTGGCCCCGAAGGCGCTTGGGTCTTGAAGGCAACCAACCCTCTGAGCGATGACAGGTCCGTTCAATAAATGTTCTCCCAGAGCTTCTCCACAATGCAGTGGAGGCCACAGAGAAAAGGAAATACAAAATCGGCCCGGGAGATTAGGACAAAGTGACACTGATGAGTAATGAGGAAGGACAGAAATAGGTAAGAGTGAGACAGGCTGGGAGAAAGGCATTCCAGGCAGAGAGAACAGCCTGGGCCGAGGGGCGATAACAGCACACGGCATCATCAGGAAGCAGCAGCGGTTCGGCTGGGATCAAGCATGATCCACTCTGGGCAAAGCCGGCGGGTGCCGGGCTCCGAAGGCAGAACTCTGGCTTAACCTTGCAAGCAGTTGGGGACCGCCCGCCAATTCTGAGTTTGAGCATGGCTGTAATCGGGTTGGGGGGTGGCTAGTGAGAGGAGGCAGGGAGGAGGTTAGTGGGCCCCTAGAGAGATGAGGTCTGAACTACAAAGCCAGGGCCCAGCAGAGCACCCCGGGGCGGGCTGGTGGTGTAATGAGCTTGGTGGTGCCCTGGGGAGGGGGGGCAAGCCAGACTCCCAGGTTTCTGACCTAGAAGGCAGGGTAGATGGTGGTGGTGCTGTTCATCAGGGGAGGGCAGGCAGGAAGGACAAAGTTTGGGGCAAAAACAAGGAAATGGGGGTCAAATGAGCCCATCTCGGGCCAACAGCAAAGACTGAATGCCAAATATGAAGGAAGATGAGGACCCAAGGAGTTCTTCCAGGAAAGGCAGCTGGGCCTGCATGGGGAATAAGAGACCCACCCCAACTCCCTGTCCCTCACCGCGGTGGCCTGTGAGGCCCCCAGAGTGAGCTCCTCCAACAGGTCTCGGGTGCTGAAGCCCTCCTCCACCATCACAAAGTCTGTTTCGCTCAAGTAGCCAGCCATGCCGAGGAGGAGGAGCCGTTGGGCTGGATGAAGCCGCTGCCCCGCAGCCCCGCCGCCTTAGAAAGTATGCAACACACTGCAGGGGAAGAGGGAGTAAAGTGAGGGGGCTCGCTGGAGGGCTGCCCTTCACTGCCCCTCTGACCTCCCCAAGCCGGGGCCCCAGTCCTGTCACACCCCACCGCCAGCTCAAGCCTGGAGAGCTTAGGCCCCCTGAGAAGGGTGGGGACGATCAGGAATCCTGGACTAGGACAAGGCATAACATGCCTAGATGTCACTGCCTCTCCGAGCCTCAGTTTTTCCATCTGCAAAACGGATGGATCATTTTAGAGATCCTTTCCAGTTATGAAAATCGGGTTTTAGCAAAAAGGGTAAGAAGGAGAGGGAGCAGGAAAGCCAAGAAGCTCGGGTGGGGAAGTTTTCAGGGGACCCCCAGTTTTGACCACGCCCAACTAAAGAGACTTGGGGTGGCCCCACTAAGGAGTCTCAGCCCCAGAACAGGAGATTAGATTCGAGTCCCCCCTCAGCTCCGTGACCTTGGCTATGCCCTGTCCCCTCTCCGAGCCTCAGTTTCACCGTTTGTAAATGGTGGGGGGGGAGCTGGCGGTCAGGTCCTGACGTGCCAGGATTCTAAGCGTGCATGGGGCCACATGGTGGGTAGGGGTCGCGGGCTCCCGGGCGGGAACCGAAGCCTGAGGTTCTGCCCGGGTGAGCCCTCCCGAGTGCAGGGCCAAGGACCCGCCCCCCACATCACCTTACCAAGCCCCGTCCTCCTTCGCGGGGGCCAGAGCCAGGCGCGCTGCTAGGGAGGGTCGCCGGTGACCTCGGAACTTGTGCAACACCCCAAGGAGGAGTGGCAGTTGCGGAGCCGAGGCCCCTGCTGAGAGGAGGCAAGGGGGCCGGGGGCAGGTCAGCACTGGAGCCGAGGGCGTCCGCCCCCGGAGGCTCCCCGAGCCACTCCCCGCACTCGCCTTAAAACGCATTTACACGGCTTCGGCCCATAGGTCTCCCCAGCGAGTGAATCGGATCCTCGGCGCCTCCGCTCGCCCGCTCCCCCCGGCTCGGGCCCCGCGGCCTGCGCCCCGCCCGCCCAGCAGCCACCGACCCCACGCTCCGCCTGCCCCCGCCGCCTGCTTATATAAGCCTCGCCCAGGCCCCGCCCCTGACGCCCAGGCCCCGCCCCGCTCGGCCCCCTCCGTAGCCCGGGCAACCGGGTGCCGCCATCCCATTGGTCGATTCCGACATAAAGCATTCAGCTCTGCCACCCTGCTCCGCAAACCTGAGTAAGCTTCAATCCTGCCAGCCTGGTGGGCTGCACAGCTACCCGACACTGGAAGTGGGAACTGCAGAGCCGCCACCTCAGAATCCGGAGCGCCTACACGCTGGGAAGCTTAGGTCCTGGATCATGGATCTTAGCGAGCGGGCAGGAAGCCAGGGGGTTTTCTATTTGCCCTGGGAAATCTTCTCTGACTACCTCCTCTCGCGGGTGCCTCTCTCCTCTCCTCTTGGTGATCTCCTCATTTCATCCCTCAAAGCCTAGGTCAAAGTCATCTCCTTATGTTACTTTTCTAATAAAATCCTTAATTACCTCTCCCAGCATCTTCTCTGATTCTTCCAACTCAAAACCCAGCATAAAAATTTGTCTTCAAAAACGTGAATTTCCCAGCTCAGGGCAATCTCTCCCTTCATCCCACCTTCTGAATCTGGCAAACTCCTACTCACTTTCAAATAAAATGTCTCCTCCAAGATGCATTCTCTGACTTCCTCTCAACTCAATGCATTTTTTTTTTCTCTTCTACACCTGACAAACTCCTGCTCACCTATCAAAGTACAGTATAATGTGACCTTCCCTGTTGAGCGTCCATGACTTTCCTTGGCTGGAGGGACAATGGAACTCACAGCGGTTATATCTGTGTGCACTCCTCACTCATCTGGCTCTTGTTACCCAGAGCATGAGAATCCTCTTGTTGCTTTACACTTCTTGCTTGGTTACACTTCCCAACTATTGTGTGATCTCCCAAGGGCAGGAAATGAGGGCCTGACTCCTCAAAAAGTATCCAGTGCCTGCTATAAACAAGAGTGCTAAAGATGATTCAGTATCTGTGTTATTCAAAAACTGCTTCAAAAGTCCATCTGAAACAGTGATTGTACAAGTATAGCCAGGATATTCTTAAGAAGGAAAGAAGGAAGGAAAGAAGGAAGGAAGGAAGGAAGGAAGGGAAAGAAAAGGAAAGGTAAGGAAAAAAAGGAAAAGAAAAGAAGAAAAGAAAAAGAAAGGACTTCTTAGACCAGATATCAAAATATTTTATAAGCTATAGTCTTTAAAACGTGTTGCTATGCAGGAAGAGACAGCAGAACAGAACAGAGTCTAGAACAGTTTCATGCAGATTGTAGAATCTGATAGGTAATGGGGGGCAGCATTTCAAATCCATGGGGCGAAAGGGCTCTTTGGTCCAACATACGTGTTTATGTTCTTTGTCGGGCTGTAGGCTTCTTGAAAGCTAGAGGCACTTCTTGTCCTGCCTCAGTACCTCCCTAGGGCATCATGCACAACCTAATTGGAAGGCACTCAGCATACATATGGTGTAGACCGTGGGAGTATGGAAGAGCCATTTTCTGCTCCCTACTCAGCCTGACCACATGACTGCTGAGTGTCCTTGGTTGTGTCATTCTGCTTCGACCAAGGTTCCCTTTGCCTAGCTTGGTTTCCCCACTGTGAACTGAGAGGATTCAGACTGAGTGAGTTCTCTAGGCCCTTCTGCCTGGAACTGTCTTGCTCTCTATGCATTGCAGCAGCCTTTCAGGGGCAGTCCTCTTGACAGGATGGGTCATCGGCAGGTCCTTGCAAGTCTCTGCTTTGAGAGATTTGTAGTCATTTGCACCATAAGATGAATTAGTGACTGAGGTCCTCCTGAGACTAAGCATCCAACATAGCTATGGCAGAAACCTCAAAAGGAGCCCTCAAGAAAAGGTGACAGCAAGAGAAAGGTATGGACACTCCAACAAACTGGCTCTATTTTGTTTTAATTATTCATTGAGCTGGCTGTATTTGGATGCCATGGTCTAAGTCTGCCTCACTAGGTCTTGTCATCACCTGGTACATAGTTAAGTGCACAGTGGGCCCATTTAGTCTTCTTACTGAATGAATCAAAAAAGGTAAGAAGGAACAAGCCCGAATCTGCCCTATCCATTTGTAATTTGTCACGGGTTAGTAGTCAGAGCAGAAAAATCTGTATCCCTGGGCTGGATACAAATAAGCTGTAGATTTATCTTTTTCCCTCCTGGGTATGTGATGTCACTGAATCTCCATGACAACCCTATGTCATAGGGGCTATAATTGTTCGCATTTTACAGATGACGAATCTGAAAACTCAGAGAAGTTCGGTAACCTGCCCAGGGTTACATCACGAGTAAAGGGGGAGCCCGGATTCAAACCCATCCGTCCCAATTCAGCCTTTATGCTTTCCTGCCAACCAGTGCCTGAGCATTTGGGCCCCAGGTCACCAAACATCACCCAGTCATCCTGCTGGCATCCAGATGAGAGGCTGGTCGCTCCTCTTCTGCCAGGCTCCTGTACCGCTATTATCCCTGCACAGCCCTCAGAAACATGTTGCTGAAGCAGGACAAAGAGCCTCTCTTCTCTGGCCAGGATCATGTCAGTCAATTTCAACCCATTCCTCCTAAACCAATCATAATTATAGTCACAACCACAGCAGAAATAAAAATGCCTTACATGTGTCGAGAACTGGAGAGTTTACAAAATACTTTCTGGTTCATCATTTCATTCAGGGTTCCCAATGCTTCACGGGATTGGACATCAGTTCAGTTTAGGCTTGGCTGAGGAAAATAAGAGGACAAAACTCCCAAAGCGGGATGTCTGGGTGGCTCAGTCGGTTAAGCATCTGCCTTCAGCTCAGGACATGATCCCAGAGTCCTGGGATCAAGTTCAGCATGGTGGGGGGGGGGGAACCCTGCTCAGCAAGGAGCCTGCTTCTCCCTCTGCCTGCTGCTCCCCCTGCTTGTGCTCACTCTCTCTCTCTTCCTGACAAATAAATAAATAAATAAAATCTTTAAAAAAATTTTCACGAGACCATGAACAGACACAGGTCTGTTCTGCTATACAATGTTGGAGGTGGGCAGTCAAGCCTGGTGTGGCAGCTCCACAAGGTCATCAGGAACCGAGGCTCCTCCCCTCTTCTAACTCTGCCATCCCCATCCCCTGGCTTCTGGCTTCATGGCCCAAAATGGCTGCAGGAGCATTCCCAGAGCTAACATTTAACCAGTAAGACCAACTGATTGGTGCCCATCTCCCTGTGATTGTTCCCAACGTTAAGGACAAGCGCTGGATGGTGCAGTCACCAGGAAAGCTCGCTCCGGTCGCCATCACCAAATTGCACATTTGTTAACTTCCTAGGGCTGCTGTACCAAAGTACTAAAGACTGGGTGGCTTAAGACAACTGTTATTTGTTGTCACAGTTCTGGAGGCCAGAAGTCCCAAATCAAGGTGTCAGCCGTGCCATGCTCTCTCTCTGATGGTCCTAGGGGAGACTCTTCCCCTGCTCACATGACTGTCTTCTCAGTGGGCTTCTTCACACCATCTTCCTGTGTCTATCTGATTCTGTGTCCAAATTTCCCGTTTTGATAAGGACTCCAGTCATATTGGGTAAGGACCCACCCAAATGACCTCATTTTAACTTGATTTATCTATGTAAAGACCTTATTTTCTTTGTTTTTTTTTTTAAAGATTTCATTTAAAAAATAATAATAAGATTTTATTTATTTCGGGCACCTGGGTGCCTCAGTAGATTAAGTGTCTGCCTTCGACTCAGGTCGTGATCCCAGAGTCCTAGGATGAAGTCCCACATTGGGCTCCCTGCTCAGCGGGGCGTCTGCTTCTCTCTCTGCCCCTCCCCCCCATGCTCACTCTCTAACTCGCTCTTTCTCCCTCTCTCTCTCTCTCTCTCTCTCAAATAAATAAATAAATAAATAAAATATTTTTTAAGAAATATTTTTTAAGAAAATATTTTTTAAGAAAATTTTTTAAGAAAAAATATTTTACTTATTTAAGAGAGACAGAGCAAGAGGTAGAATACCGGCAGGGAGGAAGGGCAAGGGGAGAGGCAGAGAAAGAGGGAGACATAGGCTCCCCCCGGCTGAGCAGGGAGCCTGATGGACTGGATCCCAGGACCCGGGGATCATGACCTGAGCCGAAGGCAGATACTTAACTGACTGGACCGCCCAGAGGTCCCTATTAGTCCCATTTTACAAATGAGAAAATCGGGGTTAAATCCTTTGTCTAAGGTCACACAGCTAGTGAATAATAAAGCTGGGACTTAACTCTGATCTGGCAAACTTGATGCCTATAGGACAGGCCCTGGGAATGGGGCAGGAAGCCAGAACAAAGAAGGTGAAGACCAGGTCAAGAGTAAACGACAGGAGACCCAAGAGAGGCTGGAACTGAGAGTCAGACACAAGCTGACCTGGCAGAAAGGACACGAACAGCAAATTCCCAGGAGGCATCAGTGAGATGGAGACTCTGAAGCAACCAGAAGCTGGAAGCAGCCTTCAGCATCGCAAGAGCAGAGCTGTCTTCAAGTTCGGGATGGAAACCAGTAATACCAGGAGCCACCATGGATTGAGCGTACTACGGGCCCCAGGCACCGTAGTATGCATTAAAGATAACATGGCCAGAGTACTTGCCATCACGTGGCCTTGTAGTAAGATGGATAGAACCCCTAACCTCACAGCCGCCTGATGCGGTGTGTGCCGTTGGTATTAGAGGGGAGGCAACATGAAGGAGAGGCTAATCTCAAGGTCCCAAAACGAGCATGAGGCACCACCAGGCTACATACATTTCCTCCATCCTCACAACAAGCCTGCCAAGTGAGAATTATTACTCTCATTTCACAGTGGAGGAATTTGAAACCCAGAGAGGCCAAGTGATTTTCCCAAGACCACACAGCAGGCAGACGGCAGAGTCTGGACTCCACCTCAAGGCTCTACAGTGAGGAAATTGGACCCATGTAGCCCAGGGTCATGTGGGAGCAGACCTTGGCCCCCATCCGTGGGAACCCAGAATTCTAGTTATGAGTGAGGTGTCCGTATCCC